GTTTTTACTGGGTGCAATGGTGTTTTTGTGCAAACGTTTAGATCTTGTAATTCAAAAACAGGCTTAGGTGTTTGGGTAATTCAAAATTCTGAACCGTGCTTCTGTTTGACTATTTGTTGCTGATTATGCCAAACTGAGATCCACCAATGTTTATGTTCACTGGATCACAGAGATCTTTAATTTTACTTGCTTTATGTTGAGATTGTGGCAGATGAAGTGTTTGTGACTGTACTGGAGACAGTACTGTCCCTCTGCTGGTCACATGCTTGTTCATTATGCAAATGCACAGTCAGTTTCTAATGACATGTAAAACAGATGAGTCTTGATGACATAATCTATTAGTTTGCACAATAAATCCTCAGGTACAACATTTGACTGACAGTTTTTATTTGTATTTTTTTGGAGGGGGGTATCATACTTGTATGAGGTGAGAGTCCTGTAATCTAACCTAGAAAAAATATTTTTTTTTGTTTTTAGCACTGATCAGAAAGAATGCATTAAACTTGTACTTGCCTAGTATTTGATGAAATTTGGCTTTAAAAACAAATTTTTAATTGCACTTTAGGTGTTTACTCCTGCTCCATATTTGACATAACCTAACAAACTCTTTAAGAAAACATTCTGAAAAGAASTAGAGGACATTTGTCTATCCTCTCATTATAGGACCTGCAATAAGTTTAAATACCATTTTTAAACCAGAGGAGCAGTACATCTCTCCCCCTGTGCCTGTCCTGTCTTTGTGCTCGTCTTTCTGCCACAGGGTGACGTGCTGTCAGCCGGAGGCCTGGCTCCACTGATCTGACAGCCTGTCCTCTGGGACCTGCAGAGAGACGAGTCCTGACGGGGAGAAAGCAGACGGCTGCTCGCCCAATTACAACCTGCCTTCCACTGCCTGTTCTCATGATTTCTCTCATTTCTTTCCCCACATGCTCAGAAATGTTGTGCTGGTCACACAGGTCAATAATGAAGGTCTGGAAGGAAATTATCTTAATAAACTTGAATCATCTTCTGATGCAAAAGAGGAGTGGTTTATGTTTTAAAGCTCAGTTTTTCTCTGAAATGAGTTTGACATCCCCTTTATTCTGATCTGAGTGGAAAAATAGTTTGATAAACAAGCTAACAGTTTCTTTAATACCCCAGTATTAAACCCTTTCTACTAATCAATAAAAATCAGATCTCCTTTTTGTTACTATAATTAGCTTTATGTGTATTTGTGTTTGTATATGTGTGTTATGACCATGAGTCATGTGTTATCTGACTGGTGTGTTTGTATTTTTAACATTTTTTTATGTTTTGTCTTTGTGTATTAAAATGCACTGCATTAATAACATAACTGCCAGTCAGAAGATGAGGTGCAGCAGTTAATAAATGAGAAACTGACTTGCATTTGCGTTGATTCAGGTGTTCTTTGAGGTGTTAAGCTGTAGGGGCAGGGGGAGGACGTGTGCCCTTGAGACATGACTGGCGTGGTAATGGGCTTTTGTCCTTGCCTCTCGATGTCGATTTTTGCTACGAGAACCCATCCATCTGTGTTCGCTTTAGTGAGGAAAAGGAAAGGGCTGTAAATGAGATGACTTTGCACAGACGGGCCTTTTTATTTACACGGGTTTAGAGTAAAATTGTTTTTTGTGTTCCAGATATGAGCAACCATGTTCTCAAGTATTTAGACTTGTCTGGTGGTGCTTGACGTTTTGTCAATGTTCTATAGATCTGACTCGGGGAAACTGCGAGCACATTACAGAGTGGATATTTCAGATATAATTCCTTTCAGTTTATTGAGCGGGGTTTGTTTATTTCCTTGGGAAGTGAAGTGGACTTGGAGGTGAGTTGCAGGATCTACTGTGAAAACCTGATATAGTGTATCTGACACTCCAGTTTTTTGTGTAATGCTTATATTAATCTTTAATGCAGCTGGCTCAGTACAACTCTAGTTTGTAAATTTTAAACTAATGTTTTCACTTGGGAGCTGCATTATCTCTGCACAGGCAAACGACAAGGTAAATTTTGCCATCTGAAATGACTCTTAACCTAAAAGTGTTGTGACTCTTTGAGCAAATATTGTTGCATCCAATATGTGCAGACTAGGGAAAGGATTAGGGCCACGTACAAAAATATATACACTGCTCAAAAAAATAAAGGGAACACTTAAACAACGCACGCTAAGTCCAAGTAAATCAAACTTTTGTGAAGCACATTCAACTCTGTACAGAACAAAGTACTCAATGCGAATATTTCATTGATTAAGATGGGGAGTTAACGTGCGTTGTTTGTGTTCCCTTTATTTTTTTTGAGCAGTGTACATTTTTCTTGAGTTCTGACTTGTTTTTTTTCTCAGAATTCTGAAGAAAAAATAAAGTTTACTGTGGCTTTAACCCTCATCAGTAGTCGACTTTGTTAGCTTTACATCAATTTGTCTTAACACAGTCATGCAGAATGAAGCTCCACTTTGACTCACATCCCTGTTAAACAGAAAACTGCAACTATAAGATGATAAAAATAATTCATTAGGCACAAAGTTGTGGAAATATCAGATCTTGATAGTGTTTTCTTCCTTTTTTAGCTACCCCTCTTTAAATGTCCTGTCTTTTTATGGACTCTCTGGCACTTTTTTCCTCCCTCACAGCACCTCCAGAAGAATCCTAATCCAGACCCTATGTAATTTCACACCCCTACATGTGGAAGTAATGCAATGCATGAAGAAGTGAGTTTACTGTAAGTCAGAGTAGAGACTTTCTCCTGCACGTACTCTAGTTGGATGTCAGTTTCTTGCTTAAGCTCGAGTTCATTAAACAAGTCAAATTAAAAAATTATTTTTATTTTGGTTTTTTACATTTATTTGCTTTCATTCAAGTACTTCTTTTAGGGTCAAATTATTTGTTTCTTGGTGAAAGAATGTTCTTAAATTCTCAACTAATATATCTATTTAGAATCTGAGCTACCGCAGTCAGGTTTTATCAATTACAAACTGATTTTATTATCTTCCTCAGAACTGGCTCAAACTGTTTATGCTCTCTGCTGATGTTCAACTCCAGTTTTTCAACACTCCTCACAAACAACTTGATTTTCAGCTTTTGTTTTTGTCATCTTTAACATTTTCCTGCAGTGACCATTTTAAAATTCTTTTTTATTCTGCTTTTTTGTCTGGTCTGTTTTTATTGGAGTTTCATTCTTCATGCAGGATCAAACTTTAAATTAATTAATTTATTTTATTTATTTATTTATTTATGTACTTTTAATTTGAAGTCTATTCAACAATTCACAGCTCTTTCTGGGGTTAAAGCTCGTGAGTTTGTGCTGTTGGTTACTTCGTAAAGTTTGGTTGAAAACAGATGTCCATAGTAAGAGCTTATGTTTCCTTCTGTTTTCTCATTGACAAAGAAGTGTTCTTTTATCCATTACCTGCTATTTACAATAACTTTATTTTAGAGCTAAATTAATAAGGTATACGGTTTAACCCTTAGATTTTTTTGTTTGATTTTTAACTGTTTCGTTCTGATAGATAAATAGTTGGAAGTTTTTTTATAATCCGATATAATCAAATATTTAATATTAATGTGAACCTCATGCTTGGTTAAAATTAAGAGCCAGGCGATCTTTAACATCATTATATGGGATGATAAATTTCAACACTGTGTTCCTTGTTTATTTCTGCTGATCTTTTGAACCAATGCTGTCCTCAAGGCCCTGTCAAACTATGATGTTTTAGATGAGTGGAATTTAAAAAATCAACTTGAAGCTTCTTTTAGGCATGTACATTCTGTAATGCTAACAAATTGATCAAATATCTAACTTTTATTAGTATTTTAGTGGAAAAAACATTTTGTAAGTTGGCATAAGTTGTCTAAAACTTCATAGTGTGACAGGGCCTTTATGTAAAATGTGAATATGAATTATTTCAAATAAAAAATGTAGGTTTTTGTTTAAGTTGAAGATAATTCACATATTTAAAAAAAAGGTTGTTGCAACATGTTTACCTAATTATTCAGGTTGTTTTTTTTAATGTAGCGGTCACCCCTCTGGATAAAAGCCATTCAAATTGGGAAATTATGCAGTCCTGCTCCTACCAGCCTGCCAGGCAGAGATCCATGTTGTGCTTACATTGTTCAGTGGCTTCGACAGGAGTGGTACTCTGTTCCTCTGCAAGGTCACAGCAACCAGCTGCTGTGTTCTACGATATAAAGTGTTTGCTGCCTCTCACTATGGCTGTAACATCTCTATCAGCTACATAACAACCCTTTTCAATGTGACACAGCATAATGTGCGTGCCGGCGTGTATGAGGCAGCACTTTGTAGACATTAAAGGTTCAGCAGGTTTGATTACAAGTTGGAACAATTTCCTTTCTGCTCTTAAACTCTATAATTTAGATACCACAAGAATAAAATATTTGATGTACCCTTTTTCCTTTTTATTCCTTTTCTTCATGGTTTTGTCCTTCTTACACCTTTTGTCGCACCTTTTTTAAGATTTGACTGAGATTGTTTATGCTGCACAACCACAGTGACCAGAATTTGTTTATCTGGTACCTTTTTTTTTTTATAGGCCAAATACCTCCTTTAAAACATGTCTGCCCCCTCTGTTGTTAAAAATAAATAAATAAAATTACATAAGAAAGCCTTCATAACACAATTTGTTCTTCTGTAAAGATTTGGTAGACACTGACTTTACTTTTAAAGATTATTTGTTCATTATAAATGAACCATAAAACTGTTGTCTGGTATTTTTCAGCCTTAGCCAGACTCKGTGTGTATGATAATGTTTAGTGATCAGTTTGACACTAAATTAACTTATTAAAACACAAAATAGCGTTATGGCTTCCAACATAAAAAAAATAGTTTTTAACTGCATATTTGTGTGCAAAGCAAGTTTATGCATCTCTAATGAGAACAATCAACTCTTAAAAGAAGCTGTATGCAGAATAAACAGTTTCGTATTAAATTCCCAAAGTAAAACACTTGTGGGGTTATTAAATACATAACTTATCATTAAAATATTTTTTCAGATGACTCGGGGGATGAGGAGCCCACATCCCAGTCGGATCGCAGCGAGATCCAGGGCACCCTGAAGATACTTGTCAGCAAGCTTGATGACCTCAGCACATGTAATGACCTGATCGCCAAGCATGGAGCCGCCCTGCAGCGTTCCCTCAGCGAACTCGAAGGCCTGAAAGTCCCTCTGGAGGGAGGGGAGAAGATCAAGGCAGTCAACGAGCGAGCCACACTTTTCCGCATCACTTCCAATGCTATGATCAATGTAAGTAGTTGGGGCGTAACGAGCTATAAGCTGCTGCAGCAGGGAGAAAGTCCAATATCTGTGTCCTGTGTGCTTTGGCAATGATCACTGTGACCAGAGCTCCAGTTATGTGTAATGTCCTGGTTAGTAAGTGATGAGACTGCCTCAGAGAGCCACCGGTCTTAAAACTGCATGCTTACAAGGCACATTAACACAACCAGATTGTGTTTACCTACTAAAACATGAACCCTTATGTTGCCACTCTTATTTACACAGATGTCTGATGTCTGATTAAACTTTGCATTTGCTGCCTGTTCACTCCGTGTAACAGTCCTCTCCCTTTTTCATTACTGGTAAACATTTTTAAGGGCCTGTGTTAGTGGTGGATTTGAGTTCAGGAAGGGTTGAGGCCCTGAAGGAGAAATACTAGATATGATATTGGGTGGGGTGACAGGAATAGCCCCTGCTCCCCACTCTCCCCCAGCCCTCTACTGGGGTGGGGGTGTAGAGGGTTGTAAAGAAATGCCATAACTTTCTGTACCACAGTTAGCCTACCAGACCTGCTCTGACTGAAGTCAGACAATCTTATAATGATTGTTGTTATTCCTGCTTCTGTCAGCTGTTGTGATCTGGGGTCAGTAATTCTTATTTTGGCTATTATGCACGTCTAATTGATGTTTTTAAATACCGTTTATAAACTGAGTTTTGCTGTAAGTTGACATGATTTGCACAAATGTAATTCCTTGCATGAAAATAAAGACTGAGTAGGTAGCTATTAAATTGCCATAGACTACTGGGATTTTATTTAATTAATGCATTAAAAATTTGTTTAAACTTTTGATTTTTAATTATTTTTTTCTGAAAAAGATTTCCTTACCCACACCTATTTGCAGAGGTTCAAATACGGTAGACAAATCGATCCCCATTTAACACTGATAASTTTACATGGTTTGGTTACTTCACTCCCAAAGATTAGTGAAGCAGAAAATGACTTGCTGAGTGAACATAATACAGGACAGACTTATCCTCTGCACCACTGGTTGCCAGTAAGTTTTTACGGAGGAGTTACGGTTTTGAATTTAGATTCAGTAATTTTACTGGCGATATTGAATTCCAGGCTTAATTTCTTAGGTTGTCAAATTATTTCCTAAATAATATTCATCTTGAGTTTAATTTWAATTTTTGGGATAAAGTTTTTTTAAATTTCAAGTTTTCATAGAATTTAGTCCTGGGTTGTGAACATTAACTTTGAAAAAAATCAAATCTTATAAATCACAGTAGATTCAGGATAACATAAGTGATTCTGCTGAAAGTATTTTACTGTTGATATACATTCAAAGTGTTTTGTGTATGGGTGGGGGTAAATTCAGATCAAATGTATGTTTTTTTTTTGTTTTTTTTTTACCCAAATGTCGTGCTGAGTCTGCACTACGTAGAAGCGCATCCCCCAGGTAGTGGATCGAGGATCCCTGTTCCTGATGTATAGGGGTGTGCCTGAATAACCTGAAAGGCGAATAGGGTGCTGCGAACCAAAAGCAGTGTATGGCAAGTTGACAAGTACTGAGCGGACAAGGGGCCGGCCCCCAGTACCCGGCAAAAGGGGTTCTAAAATATCTGGGGACCCAGCCTGCGGCACATTGGGCGCAGATGTTGCAGGTGGACTTATGACTGTGCCTCTGGCCTGACTGGTGGGGAACCAGGCTGGAACAGTAAGCAATACAGTGACTGGAACAACCTGTACTCTGGCCCCAGAACCTGTATGTGTTGGGCCGTGGGCAGCCAGAGGGTTTAGTGCCTTGGGGCTTGGTGATGGCAAGGGTTTCTGTCTCTGCTGTTGCTGGGTCTACAGGGAGTACCCAGTGCGAATGTATCCCATTGACTGCACCCCATTGGGGAGTGGTCAGGGCCTCACAAGTGCTGGAGGATCAATGTGCAAGATATTGAGACAGAGGTCACAAGTACGGCAAACTGCCTGTAAGTCTGCCTGTCCGGAGAAAGTCTGGAGGCCGTCAAAGCAGCCGGCCTGGTGGACTACTGAGTTGTCTGGCCTCTGCAAGGCAGTAATATGTACGTAAATGGCAAAGATACAGATTCCAACCAAACAAAACCAGATGAGAATATTATGTACAGTCTTGAAATCACTATAAAGGTGTGCTAAGGGAGTGTAAGAGACTTTCTTGAACAAAGTTTTGTGAAGATGTTAAGTGGTGTCATGCCCCTTAACTTCACAAACTTTTATGAAAGGATCCAGTCAACCACCTATCATTCATTGTTCCACCAGAAGGATTATCAGTCACACAGACAAGTGTGCTTCAGCATCTTCTCCAGGTATATTTTCCTGGGGCAGAGGAGACTTCACAACCTGTCGCAGTGAGTGACTAACTCAAATCCAACAGAGGACGACTGGAGCCAAGCTGCAAGTATTACTTAAGGCAAAGTAAAATGGGCAATTAATATGTTTGACTCATTCAAAGTTTGTGGTCCAGATGGTATATTTCCAGCTCCTCTCCAAAGAGGACTAGAATTGCTTCTGGACACAATAACTAGAATATACACTCACCGGCCACTTTATTAGGTACACCTGTCCAACTGCTCGTTAACACTTAATTTCTAATCAGCCAATCACATGGCGGCAACTCAGTGCATTTAGGCATGTAGACATGGTCAAGACAATCTCCTGCAGTTCAAACCGAGCATCAGTATGGGGAAGAAAGGTGATTTGAGTGCCTTTGAACGTGGCATGGTTGTTGGTGCCAGAAGGGCTGGTCTGAGTATTTCAGAAACTGCTGATCTACTGGGATTTTCACGCACAATCATCTCTAGGGTTTACAGAGAATGGTCCGAAAAAGAAAAAACATCCAGTGAGCGGCAGTCCTGTGGGCGGAAATGCCTTGTTGATGCCAGAGGTCAGAGGAGAATGGGCAGACTGGTTTGAGCTGATAGAAAGGCAACAGTGACTCAAATAACCACCCGTTACAACCGAGGTAGGCAGAAGAGCATCTCTGAACGCACAGTACGTCGAACTTTGAGGCAGATGGGCTTCAGCAGCAGAAGACCACACCGGGTGCCACTCCTTTCAGCCAAGAACAGGAAACTGAGGCTACAATTTGCACAAGCTCATCGAAATTGGACAAGAGAAGATTGGAAAAAYGTTGCCTGGTCTGATGAGTCTCGATTTCTGCTGCGACATTCGGATGGTAGGGTCAGAATTTGGCGTCAACATGAAAGCATGGATCCATCCTGCCTTGTATCAACGGTTCAGGCTGGTGGTGGTGGTGTCATGGTGTGGGGAATCTTTTCTTGGCACTCTTTGGGCCCCTTGGTACCAATTGAGCATCGTTGCAACACCACAGCCTACCTGAGTATTGTTGCTGACCATGTCCATCCCTTTATGACCACAATGTACCCAACATCTGATGGCTACTTTCAGCAGGATAATGCGCCATGTCATAAAGCTGGAATCATCTCAGACTGGYTTCTTGAACATGACAATGAGTTCACTGTACTCAAATGGCCTCCACAGTCACCAGATCTCAATCCAATAGAGCATCTTTGGGATGTGGTGGAACGGGAGATTYGCATCATGGATGTGCAGCCGACAAATCTGCGGCAACTGTGTGATGCCATCATGTCAATATGGACCAAAATCTCTGAGGAATGCTTCCAGCACCTTGTTGAATCTATGCCATGAAGAATTGAGGCAGTTCTGAAGGCAAAAGGGGGTCCAACCCGTTACTAGCGTGGTGTACCTAATAAAGTGGCCGGTGAGTGTATRTTGCTTGTYAAGCGAACGGCTATGTACCAATTGGGTGGAGGACAGCAAATGTTGTCTTTCTGCCCAAACCTGGCAAGCYAACATAKAAAGAAGCAAAAYCTTTCAGACCCATCAGCTTAATATCTTTCTTGCTGAAGGGAATGGAGAGGTTAATAGATCGACATGTAAAGAATGGTATTTTAATGCTATCACATTTAAGTTCTAAACAACATGCACATCAGGCAGGTCTTACTACAGAAACRGCCTTACATGATGTTGTTTTTAAGAACAGAACGCAGCCTGGCATATGGACAATATGCACCTGGCTGCTTCTTGGACATACAGGGGGCATTTGACAATGTACCTGTAGAAGCTATAGAAGGAGCACTTGCCAGCAAAGGCGTGGATGAGATGACAACAAATTGGCTCATTTTCATGCTTCGGACAAGGAAAGCATCTTCAACTCTGGGGAACTGTTCAATAACTCAAATGGGGCTGTCCACAGGGAGGAGTAATCTCGCCCCTGTGTTGGCTCCTGGTTGTCGACAGTCTAAGTGAGTTGAATAGATCTAGACTCCATCMACAAGGGTGTGCAGATGACTTGGTCATACTTATAGAAGGCTTCTGCCTGGGTACTGTATGTAACTTAAYGAAGAGGGGGCTAAAYATAGTATCCAGATGGTCCCGCGAGTAGGAACTTTCTGTCAACCCAAACAAAACATAATTGGTTCTTTTCACTTGTAAGAAGTCAAGGAAGGGTTACTCACCTCCCAAGTTGGAGGGTGTAGAACTCTCCCTGTCAGAGTTGGTTAAATTTTTGGGTGTCTGTCTAGACAGGAAGCTTAACTKGAAAAGACATGTAAAAGAAAAGTGTAAGAAGGCAGCAATGTGTCTACACCAGTGCCGTAGAATTGCAGGTAGTCGTTGGGATGCTTTCCCAAAGGTTATCAGATGGATCTAGGACCATAGTCCACCCCATGCTATGCTGCTTTAGTGTGGTGGATTTTGGATGCGATGCTTTGTATAAGGACCAGTGTCTTTTTGGGGAGGGCAATGGGCCCACTTAGAGGCTCCTGCTCATTTTGGGTTCTATAATCATCCCCAATCACCATACTCATACCAAACTGTCATTAAGATAAAATACAAAAATCAATTCTTAGGTTTTATCAACGTAGGAGACATGATTCTAAATCTTCTTACATTATGTGGAAAAAGCAATTTTAATTTTTCGGTAACTTTAGATAAACAAGAAGTATAGACAAATGCATTTTATTTAGACATAAGAGCCTGTTGGATGGTTTAATCTTTAAAAGCTATTTTGAGCATGGAGAGCTGATTAAACGCGTGCATTTTTTTTTTACCACAGCTTGGTGAGGGTTTTACTTTAGTTCATTCACCATTAACCCAACTTCAAGTGAGCCTTTGACTCCAGAGATAAACGATACGGTTAATGAATTTCATTGCCCACCATTTTAGAGTAGTATGGTTGAACTTCATTTATTTCAAAATTATTCAAGTATACTTTTTAAACAGGGTGATTTGAAATTAGTCATCTCTGGACACGCTACAGAAAAATAAACTGATTCAAATACAGGTTCACTTCGTTATGTGAAGAGATTTAATTTACCACTAATTATTCTTATGTACATGTCATAAATCATACTTATTCACATTGTTAATTCTTTGATTTTTTTTTTTAATAGTTTTTCTTTCCAACACCAGGTCACATGCAGTCTGATTTTATACTAAAGAGTCAGCATTAAAAAGTAGAACTGTCAGACTTTTTAAGTTGGGGTTTGAGTTTCATATCATGCTTTTAGTCTGAGGAAGTGGAGTTAAACGTCACATGTGTTGGTAGAATTTAAACCCAAGCTCAGGCAATCTTGTTGGATATTTTAAACAGCTGGTGCAAGACTAAAGAAGGTAGGAGCTAGTCATTTTTCTGCCTGGAGAGCTAGTCATTTTTCTGCCTGGAGAGCTATAAAATTTATCTTAATCTTCTCTGTCTTGTTAAGTTTTCATTATAAAATATTCAGTGGCTCTTTTCTACAAGGATGTAAGATGGATGATGTGATATTTCAGCAGCCTCCCATTCTATTAATGCTCTGTCATTATACACTTCTAAATCTGAARTGTTCCTAAATTTTAAATGAAATGTCTTGACATGTAATTGGCAATAAAATATTAATTTCTCTGCTAAACCTTTTAATAATCTAGAATAACTAATAAGAACTGAGTACTTTCTCTTGTTCTGTGTTCACAATACATTTTTATATGCAAGTGTCTGATCTGCAGACTTAAGTGAACAGTAATCAGTAAAGTGTTGTCCTCACAGCATGTGCTGAATGAGAGCGTGCCACTGTGATGATCAGAGAAAATGCAGGTAACAATCATGTAATGATTTTTACTGTGCAATAATTTYACATTTATTAAACTCAAATTCAAATTTGATAAATATATTCTAATGTTGAAATCATTCACCTATATAGTTTCATTTAATATATGGACTTTTTGCGACATTAGGGCTATTTAGGACTAACCTGCTGTTGGGTGGGTTTGCATATCCTGGGTGCCTGTTTCACCAGAGCACAGAGACGAGCTGAATAAAGTGAGAGTCTGATCTTTTCAGATTCATGCATTCAGACCTAACTCTTATTAAATGGCTGAGCCTAACAATTAACAGTCCCTCCAGTTCTGGGAACAAGGACACATTGCCTTCAKTTGACCTTAAACCAAATGCGATCATGTGCCGACACAGTCTGGTAGGGAAGAAGTTTAATGAGTGTTCTTTTGAGAGCAGTTTTGGATTCTTTTTCAGTTCCACTGAAAATCTCATACTCGAAGCTTCATGATCGTCACATGACATTTTTAGTAATATGAAGTTGGCCAAGAGGTGTTATTAGAGTTCAATGACCCTTGAGCTTAGTAAGAGGAAAGCTCATGATGCAGAGCCAACAAATGCTGACATGTAATAAATGTGTGATCTGAAGTAACCTTTTTGGTCCAGCAGTAAAATCAGAAAGGCAGTGATGCCCCCTCATGGCTCGTATGGTCAAGAGGGGGAATTGCTGCTGCTCTGATTTTTATTCATGGGGGCGCAGTGTCTGCTGTTCAGTCAGAGGTATTAACTGCAGCTCATCAGACATCCGTGTTTGCTCCGWGGTTCATTTGACACCGCAGGGACACCCAGTAAAAGCTTTGCAGATAATTAACATATTGATGATGGCTCCAGTTTTGATTAAGAGTCATGAWGACAATAATTAGCACACTTGTCTCTCTTTTTTATGGTTTCTGTCTTATTGTTGCAAAAGGTCATATTTCTCAGAACTTCACAATCTTTAATTTGAGCACATTTTATTTTCAGGATAAACTGTACATTTTCAGGTTAAACTGAAAGTTAATTCTTACATTCATTTCATCATTTTTTCTGTATATTACTGAGAAGCAAAAACCAGTACAGACTGTGTGATCATGTACTTGTGCTTTTCCTCAGGCGTGTCGAGACTTTCTGGACCTAGCWGAGACTCACAGCAGGAGGTGGCAGCGGGCGCTGCAGTATGAGCGAGAGCAGCGTACCCACCTAGAGGAGACCATAGAGCAGCTCGCCAAACAGCATAACAGCCTGGAGCGAGCGTGGAGGGAAGCACCCACGCACGCTTCCAGCACTCCCAGTGCCCCAACGATCAACCAGGGTGAGAATGAATGTTACTGACTCCTGTGAGTCCCACAGCGGACATTGTTTTATAGGCTAAAAGTCATGTGGAGCCTTAGGCTTGTTATTATAGAGTGTCCTCAGATGGTTTAGATTGGATTATAGCCCAGTTTGGTGGTTATTATATTAACAAAGATCTACTCATGTAGGCCCTCCTGAGAATAGGAAACTAAAATACTTCTTTAAGAACACTTTGACTTTAGTCATCGTATTACATTGACTTCTGCCTTTTTTTTTTAAGTATTGTGAGACTTTGGCCAATCAGAAAATGTAGGTGAAACACAAAGAGGGCTGTGGCTGCTGAGGTTCAGCTGGACACACATGCTTTACAAATTAAACAATATTTTAAGACGAGACTTTTCTCAAGCTTTAAGATAAACAAAGTCRCACTTAAACTCTGAAAGCGCTGCGTTCAATCACTGCTTCTTAAAGATTCAGCATGAGTCAAGTTGCATTAAATGAGGACAAATATGACCTTATTTTCTGATTAGCAGCAGTTTTATTCAAAAACAAAACAAATGCATCCATACCTCCTATAGACCTTTATAAAATCTATTTAAGTTGGCACTTTGACAGAAAATATAAGATACAGGCAGACATCTGAGCGGGAGGAGAATTAATCTTGGACAATGTTCAGACTTTTTATATAAGCAACATAAACTATACAGATACGAGTGGTCATGAGAGTTTTATTACCACTTCTGGTTTTGTTTGTTTAGTTTAGTTTAGTTTATTTCAGACAAACCTTTCACCGGCAGTGTAGAACAACATGGTTCTAGAAAGACTGCGAGCCAACAGGTAAGAGGGTGTTATCATGTCTGTTATATTAAAAATTTAACACAGGCTTAAAAGTGATTTATTTTTTTCTCTCATTTGTACAAATATATTTTAACCTTGATGGGAAGGCTAAACAAAATAGATTTTATTATGAGAAGCACACACAGGGAAATAGCATCAGACCACTTAACCATCAGGAATGTTAGGTAGTTTTGTAAGCTTATCTGTTAATTACCATGGCTATGTGATTATGTGCTCTTCTCACTGAACTCTGTGGAATACATAGTTTTTACCCTCTGAGATATGTCTTTATACACAGATTTTACTGTTTCACCTGCAGGCAAAGAAAGGGTGAACAAAGAAGAGGCAAGTGATGAAGATGAGGATACAGAGTACTTTGATGCCATGGAGGATTCCCCTGCATTTATCACAGTGACTGCCAGTGAAAGCACACAGCACAGGTCAGCATGCATGCAGTTCATATGACTTTTTTTATTTATTTATTATTTTTAAACAAGACAAATGGAGTATAAGAAAAACTCTTAAAATTTTTTTCTTTGTCAGCATAATTTGAATGTTCTTTGATTTACTTGTATGTTCATTATACAAATAAAAATAAGTCATCAAAATCACTAACTTCTGCACCAGACAGACAGCTACATTTCAGTCTTTTTATTCATGAAGCACTTTTCATACTGAGCRTCACAGTGCATGATGGAGGATAAACATGAGAAACTAAAGAACTGGCATGGGTGCATACAACACCAGATTTATTGATAAAACTTCTTTAGTAACTAGATGGTCTGTGTAATTTACTTTACCTTTCAGTAGTGGTTATGCAGATATATCAACTCCAGCAGTGCCATCAACATGAAACACAGCTGTTAGACAGCATTCAGCAGCAATACCCAATAATGTAATTTGTATATTGCAAGTGTAAGTGTTGTTTTTAAATGGAAGCAGAATTGACAAGGGCTTTAGTTTTATTTTGTGCTTGTTGTGGGGGACAAAAACAAAACTAATTTTCATTCAATTTCAGGCGATCTCAGAGCAATTTGAGTGGAGCAAGCGGAGGCCAGGCCAGCGACTGGAACCAGGACGACCCTGTAAGTGTTTCTCTTCCTATCCAGTGTGACTAATACATCTGACATTTATAAATTCTGCTGACTCTTGCGAATTTCAGTTCCATTTGTGTCTCTGCAAAGCTCCCACTTCATTGATTTACTTATATAACATTTGCACTTGCTCTTCTCTCAGTGAGTTGTAGACACGCAGTTCATTTCTGCCCTCTTTGTCACGCCACTGGAGTTGTACAGTTGCATCATTCCACTTGACTTTAATTGCAAGTCAGAGATCTGTTCTTTTGTTTCACTCGTTCTGTTTGTCCTGTCTGCTGTGTCAGGCAATATATTGAAAGGCTATTCATAAAGCTGAAAAGTGTTTTCTCAAACTTGTCAACCCACTTCTTTTGCCTTACCAAATCCCAGATGTCTCCAAGCTGTAACGATGTATCAGGAAAGGAGCTGCAACCTCGCAGACAAAGGCGGACTCATATCCCAGACAAGCCCAATTATTCCCTCAATTTATGGAGCATCATGAAGAACTGCATCGGCAAAGAGCTCTCTAAAATCCCCATGCCTGTACGTCTGAGTCATGTTCCATTTGCAGTGTGTGCTGACAAGGTAATCTGTGCGGATTTCGTTTTATGAATTTCAATCCTTGATCTTCCTTTCAGGTAAACTTCAACGAGCCGCTGTCGATGCTGCAGCGTCTTTCCGAGGACCTGGAGTATCACGAGCTGCTAGACAAGGCGGCGCGCTGCGAATCRTCTCTGGAGCAGATGTGCCTTGTCGCCGCCTTCTCCGTCTCGTCCTACTCCACCACGGTCCACCGGACAGCCAAGCCCTTCAACCCGCTACTGGGAGAGACCTATGAGCTCGATCGCCTGGAGGAATTTGGCTACCGCTCACTGTGTGAGCAGGTATTGGCATATCCCCAGTGTTTCCCCAAAGTGTTCGCACATATTTGACTCTCAAACTGTTTTTTTTTTCAAACATGGATGTTTGCTAAAGATGTCTGAACATATTTTCTATACTGTCTTTATTCTGTCCAGGTGAGCCATCACCCCCCTGCAGCTGCACATCATGTGATTTCCCAAAGAGGCTGGACCTTGTGGCAGGAAATCACCATTGCCAGCAAGTTCCGTGGCAAATACCTCTCCATTATGCCTCTGGGTAAGACATTTTACAATCAGCTGTGGAACTAGCTTTTTGAAGCTTTTACTATACACTCAGAAAACTAAACGTTGCAGATGTTTCAACAATTTTTCAGGATTAGAATTTGTTTTAAGTAAATAGAATTGGCTCCAACTATATACACATGGGTATGTAAGATGACATATTTTGAATCCCTTGTACTTGCTGTGTCACCTTTCTGTTCGTAGGAATGGCAGCTAACAGTTTTCTGATAGCAATGTGTTTCTGTGTCCCAGGTGCCATTCACCTGCAGTTCCACTCCAGTGGGAACCACTATGTGTGGAGAAAAGTCACCTCCACGGTGCACAACATCATTGTGGGCAAACTCTGGATTGACCAGGTGTGTTTATGAGCTCGTCTCAGTGATAACCATCCATCCATAACGCCCAACCTTCTGCCCCCGACTTTCCATGTTTCCTGAAAGTGATGTAAAAGTATAAAGGTTCGGACCAACAGGGTAAAGTGCTGTAAATAAAGGATTTAGACAAAAGCTCATGACTCTGGTGCTTCTCAGTCTCTGGGGATTGTCTAGAGCTTTGATCCTGAGCAACAATTTAAAATGACAGCTGCCTCCTTTCTGTTCAATGGCCCAGATAGAGAGGGGGAGGGAGTGAGCAGGACAGAGATCACACGTCACTGTGTTTCTCAAATTTTCCACTTTTCAAAAAGGCTCTTGTTTCTGCTTGTTTGCATGACATCATTCTGCCTGTCAGTTTACCTGTGAGTTTAAGAAAAATGTGGTTCAGATCATTTGTGATCCTCAAATCTCCTTCACTCCAACATTCTTMAGCTCCTCCAACACTGAGCATACAATCCTCTCATTTAAGGATGTGATTTGAAAGGTGCAAACTGATGTAAACTTCCAAAACACAACCTGGAGCTCCTTGCTTTTATAAATACATCACTCAAAATAAACTAAAACATTGAGATCCTGAGCTATGAATACTTAACACCAGAAAACTTGTACAAACTGATTAAGCTGGTTAACCAAACTACTGAAACAAGCCCCCACAGCACACCCTGCAAGATACAGTCTTGGGCATTTTCCAACCTCAAAAGGCTCATCTAGCATGTCCAGAGGAGATGTAATAAACTGACCAAAACATTACCACTATCAGTTGTCCCTTCCAACATGCCTTGATATGGACTTCAGAATGGTTTAAAGTGTGATCTTGCTGATGTCGTAACATAAATCCTGGTCACCCACCTTTAAAAAAGGAGCCTCTGTGTTGAATGCAGGAGCTCTTGTTGTAAGAGTATACTGTAATTAGATACAAGCACAGCATAAAATATTTTTATATGGTTGACATGGTGACCACGCTCAGTTTTCACATTTTTTTCACATATTATCTGACAGCTGTTGCAAAAATGTGACACCAAAAGTCTTTTAAATTCTTTATTTTAAACTTCATGCATGTGTTGTTGGATCACATACGGACAACAGAAACTTCAGTTTCTTGTTAGAGCTATTTTAAAACACAAAGGTGAACATTGAGAGACACTTTATAAAGCATCAAAAGATGATTAATAAACTAGTTTCTGATTAGTTTTTTAGGATCCTGCACACCTAAACTAAAAAATTGACCGTTTCCCAGATCTTCTAGCTGATGATTTGACTTMATGGTAAAATGTTTTATTAAATTGTAATTCTCTTGGCTCGTTTTTCTTTCTCGTTATTCTCTGTCTGTGTTTGTGCAGTCGGGGGACATAGAGATTGTGAATCACAAGACAAAGGAAACCTGCCAGCTCAAGTTCTCACCGTACAGTTATTTCTCCAGAGATGTTCCACGAAAGGTAAGCTCTTTTTTTTCCTGCACTTTGTAATTTTATGAGCGTAATCTGTGTGATGCTGCCACCTGCTGGACTGTACCAACAAATGTAGGAAAATGCACAATGTGAATGACTTAGTTTATAAAAAGTGAAACGATAACAGTTGCATAAATTTAGGCTTAAATGTTTAATTAAAAATTAGTAATAAAGTTACTCTTCTTGCCTGTGCATTTATGTACTTGACAGAAGATAAGGCTACAGTGATGCAATGTTTTAGACCTTCATTCCATATATTTCCCTGCAGGTGACGGGTGTGGTGGCAGACAGTGGGGGCCAGGCTCATTACATCCTCTCTGGTACATGGGATGACAAAATGGAAAGCGCCAAGATTATTCAGAGCAGTCGAGGGGGCAGCGGATCAGAAGGAAAACAGAAGACTGTCTATCAAACTTTGTCCCCCAAACTCCTATGGAAGAAATACCCTTTACCGTACGCTTATATCATCTCTTATAAAACTAAAAACAGATATGAGTCCCAGCTGTTGTGTAAGAGATGAATCAATAGTATTGATTTTAGGAGACCACAGTGTAACTTGAGTCATTTCCTTTTTTCTTTAGGGAAAATGCAGAGAACATGTACTACTTCTCAGCTTTGGCTCTGACTCTGAATGAGCTGGAAGACGGTGTGGCGTTGACGGACAGCCGTCTGCGACCAGACCAGAGGCTGATGGAGGAGGGCCGGTGGGACGAAGCCAACTCAGAGAAACAGAGGCTGGAAGAGAAACAGAGAGCGGCGAGAAGGAAGAGGGAAGCAGAAGCCACGGACGCCCTGGATGAAGGTAGAAAATGAGGAACAGGTTCAATGCACACACAGCAGGGTTGTTTTCTATAGTCTGCAGCCGAGTCACTTTAACTGCTGAAAGCTTGATTTATGAGCTGTCTGGATTTAAAAGCAGAAACCTGAGTTGGATTCTGACATCCTGGTAGCACCCTGTGTTTGTGTTGTATGCAGGCCAGTTTGTATTCAATGTACCCATGACTTGTCTTTCTTCTCCTCCCTCTGTTGATGGTCAGAGTGTGATTATGACTCTGGTGAGTGAGGGTTTGTTGTGCATCACACTCTCACACATGCCTCTCTTTGTGTTCTCTGTGTGCTCTGCCTCTGTATACAAAGTGCATGATGCCTCTTTCATGTCATTCTTAAATATTTTTTTTTCTTACATTTTCATTTCATTCAGACCAGGCCTCAGATAGATTTAAGTATGCTCCCCACAGCAAGTTATTTTGCGCTTCATTCAAGGTTGTAAATTTGTTTATCTAGTGAAGCACTTTGCAGTTAAACCCTTCTCCAAACAGTAATAAAAAGTTTGTTCATCTAAGTCCCATGTTTGCTTGAAGGGAAACACTCAATGAGCCACTGTACTGGGTGTAAATTATCACACTATTACAGAGCTCAACCATCAAAACAAGTTTCATCTTTGTTTTGACTTGTTTACTGTTTTGTAAGAAACAAACTAAATATTCAGTTCAGGGAATCCCGAGAACTGATTTTTATTTTATTTTTATTTTTTCTTTGCTCTTTTGTTTTTCTGTTTAAACTCGTTGCAGCTTGGTTTGCATTTGGACTTCTCCCAAATGCAGCACCCAGAAACAGACTGCTTCTCATTTATACTTTTCTAAGATAATTATTTTCCTGAATCACCTGCAAGTGTAACTTCTCTATGAAAAACTAATTCAATTAAAAAAAATCTGTGCCTTTCCTACAGGTAGAGAATACGAAGGCTACCAGCCGCTGTGGTTCCATCAGAGAAGGAACTCGGTTACTGGAGAGACAAACTTTGTCTACAAGGGAGGTTACTGGGAGACAAAGGAGAGACAGGACTGGAGCATGTGTCCTGACATCTACTAACCCAGGAGCTCGTCTCAGATCACACCAACCTCATCGGACAGGGAACCACTCGGTCTCTGGTCTGCAGGCTGTGGAACATAGCTGGTTTATGAGCACCACATGGACCTCTGAGGGCATGAGAGTGTGTGTGTGTTTGTGTTTCACACAGTCTCAGATTACACAGTACCTCCAAATATCTTTTTGTTTTTACTTTGGAGAAATAAAAGGCAGGGCGTTCCTTGAGCAGTCTTAAATAAAGGCGCCTGCACAGTCCTGATGCTCTGGTGCTCCTGCAAATGATACCCACAATGCACTTTCCTGAGTTTACTCCATTACAGAACTTTATTTTGAAACTCTTGTCAAAACAGCTCCATGATTAGACTAAAACCACCAAAAGCCACATGGAAACACAACAGTGTTGAACGCACGTGGAATTTTATTCATAGCTGCTAAACACACAGCTTCAGTTTCAGTTCAGTGAAACTCAGATTAATCCAGGTTTTATGTACTGTATAAAATTCATTAGCTTCTTATTTTGTTTTWATGGAAATGACTATTTCTAATGTTTCCCAAAGAAGGAAAGAGGCTAAAATTCAGATTTTTTTTTCTTTAAAAAAAACCCTTTTAAACTAAATTATTACATGTAGGCCCAACATCTTTATTATATGCTAATGCTAAATGTAAAAACATACAACTGAGAAGTTTTTATAAAAAGGTGATCATTAGGAAAAAATGTATTTTGCAAAAGAAAATATTGATTTAAACAAACAAAACCTGAATACTTTTCAATCTGCTACTATTTGTTTTTATTTATTTTAAGTGGTTGGAAAAATAATCAAAATGACCAAAAACTGAGCTGGTTTAGAGTATCTAAAATATTCTACAAATTGATATTTGCTTTACAAATTCTGTGCATTTCAATTTTTTATTTGATTTTCAACACTTTATTGACTGTGGAGTGGAGACCATGTTTAATCAGGCTGATGATCTCTAATTATACAGCAGCAGCTGCTTCATCAAAACTAATGAAACATGGCAGAAATTGATTTTTATCTGGGTTTTATTACTTTTATCTTAATTGTTTGCTGACATGTGATTATTCTCTGTAGTCCACATGGTAAATGACTTCTTACAGTTTGTGTGTTGAATCTAAGTCGCCTCATAATCCATACAGATGATCCTGAGTTAGTTTCAGGAGTTTAACTGAGAGGAGAAGAAACTCAAGCAACCTAAACAAAAGGATGTTTACACCACTTTAACTTGTGTTCTGAGCAGTTTTTACTCTGAACATTCACTGCACCTTGTTCTTTTCTATTAGCAACATGCTTGATTGGCACTTTTCCTGCAGTCATCATCACTGATTGTCTGCACAGAAATAAAATGGTCTGCGTCTCATCTCAGAAACATTCATTATTACCTCCCGGTGCAGCCAGCACCATGTTGGTTTCTGTAGTGGTTCTTTAAAATCTTCATCACTTATTAGAAACTCTATAACAGTTCCTCTGTATGTGAGCCTGGATCCGGCCCACTGAGGTCTGAGCTGGATTTCTGCGGAGGTCAAAGTTTATAGAGAAGCAGACAGGGCTGGTTCCTGTAGCACCCCACTGAGCAGTCAGCTCCTCCCACCTCACCACAGCTCCCCTCACTGTTTGTGAACAACGCTGGTCTGGGATCAGCTCAGTCTTTCGCCTTCACCTGACTGTACAAGGGAACGAGTCCCCTGACCTGTGCACTACGAGTCTACGGTGATGAGTTTTAAAAACAAATTAGTATTTTTTTGTAATTGTTAGGAATGTAAAACAAGTACTGTCRACCTTCTAGTTGATTTGTGTGAATATTTTGTGATAAAACACTGATAGTGAAAATTAAAATGAATACTAATCTATGGATAAAGTTATCTGTAACAGAAAAGACTGAGTGAAACTAAAGGTTTTGCTTGGAATTGAATTTTTATTTTTGGCTGATTCTTAAAAAAGTTAACCATAAAGCGCCTGTGATTTGGCCAAAAATGATCAGAACATCTTTGAAATGCATTTTGAAAGTTTTTTGTTCATTCTTTTTTTTAATAATTTTTTTCAGAGTGAAAAGTTTCCGTTTGAAAATGTGAGCTTTAATCTGAGTTTATCAGATGGTTTCAGAGTGAAATGAATGATCTGTTTGTTTTTTGCACACAAAGATGCTTAATTTCCCATTTTATATTTGCTGTTTAAATTCATATTTGATTTAAATTGGTCAAACTGTATGATCACTTACAATGTCAATTTGTTTTCAAATTGTTTATCTAAAATAAACCAAATAAAATGGATATAAWTATCTGATTAGAGCCGTAACTCTTAAATCTGTTAGGTGCAGCTGTTTAGTTTGACACAAAAACAGGAAAAAGACTGTCCCAAAAGTTAAAATCCTCATTACATAGTTATTAACTTGATTAACAATGTTTGGCCCTTAAATCCCTCTAAAATCTCACAATTAAAAAAATAATGCAGATAGTTACACTTTAATGCTTTTCTGCTCATTTTTACATTATCACACTCGAGCAAAAATAAGGGGTGATGTGTTTAAATGAGTGTCAACTAGAAATAGAAATGTAAATATGACTTTTTGTCAGTATTTTTTATAAATATTATTTTAAGAAATATGCAACCAGAACTATATCCTATGTCAAAAACAAAAATTTGTTTTTAATTTTTAACTTTAAGGTGCCCCCCTAAAAATACTTTTACTGTAGTAAAATGAAGTATACAATATTTAGTGTTTTCTCTCCCTAACAGGTAATTTAAGTGTTCCACCTTTTGAGGATGAAAAGAAGTTTCCCATTTAAACTTTTATTTATTGATACTCAAAGCTGCTTGCTTTACTGTACTTTAAAATTGAAGAGTAAAACCAGTTTTTGTAAAAAATAAAATAAAATAAATAAAAACTGATCCTCAGCTCCACACATCACAGCGACGGTTTGTCTAAAAACGACTTGCATTTTCTTCCTGAACGAGTTCTGCTCWGTTTTACTTTAGTTTCTTCATCAGAACAAAACGAATGAAGATGGAAGTTTTTGTTTTGTTGCATTTAAACTGAACCCTGTTTGTGAACTGTGATCCATAGTTTTACAGCAAGGAAGTGATGACTTTTATTGTCAGTATGATGGTTGAAGTGGCAGCAGTGACCTGGTACAGAAAAAAATAGTGATGGATCTGCCTTCACTCCTCAGATCTACACTAATAGATTCAGGTGTAACTGCAAATTAAAATAAAAATTGTCTTTTTTATTATAAATTGTGTGTTTTCCCTCTTAATTTCTACTACTATTATACTACTACTACTACTATGAACACTATTGTGTTTATAGAACAACAAAAACACAATGAAAAAAGAAGCTTAAAAAAAGCTGGATATTGTTGGATATGTGCCTGATTTAATTTAATGTGTTTTTATGAACTTTTCTTTTCGGGCACCACATAATGTTCAAGGCTTTTGGAAGAACTTAAACTTTTTAAAACTTACCCAGCAGACATGGACAAACCTAAACGTGAAATGATAATTTTTGGAATACCCCGGTACATGTTTTCTTGGGTAAATTATCAGTCAAAACATTTAACTTTAACATTTATAATGACAAGAAAAAGTGTCAGAAAAATGTTAGTTTGACATTTAAAACTACTTGTATTTATTTGACTTGTCCCAACATTTTAAACCTCAGTCCAGCTGGGTGTTGTGGGATGTTTAACTGTTTCCATGACAAACTGAAGCTCCCATCAATCAGGCTTCCTCAGTAACATCAGCAGATCAACACTGACGGAGGAGTCCCATTCAGCAGCCACTGAGTCGCTTCACTTTGTTCACTGAAGGTAAGTTATAAGTTTTTAAATATGATATTTTAGTTTTCACTTGTCTTGTGTCAGAGTGTGAATTAGGC